AGTCAGCAAGCGGCCGGAGCTAATCCGCATGTGATCAGCCTGCAGTACCGCGTGATGAGGCACTTCAAGCGAGCATTGACGCGTCGAGGCTACCTGTAGGACCTAGGACGAGCACGTGGAAACACGGCAGGATCGTATGGGACATGGTATAGCGGTGGGCAAAGGCTGAGTAATTGTGTGGGATGCAGAGCATATTTGTTATTTAACTCCGGGTGGACGCGAAACCATTCCAATAGCATAAAAATGTATAGAGCGTAGTGGAAAATCTAAGTTTTGTACTTCACCCTCTCAGCGTACCAGAATTATCGTCTCAGCGACCCTCAGAGTCCCTTCGCGTCGGACTTAGCGTCTACAATCAATCCTAGCTTTGCCAATAGGCCGGACTCGTCGAAACTAGATAACTCCGCCATCACGTATCGATCCAAGTAAGCTCCAGATTTAAAGTATAAAATTCACCAAGCGTCTGTAGGCACGAGACTATTGTTCGGGTTCAGTGGAACTCCCCACCCGGGTTACTGGCGAACTTCGGAGATAAATACTCCGGAGAATCGCTATACTGTTTGTTTCAGGCCTCAAGATTTTGTTTGTTTCAGGTTTTCCTACGGGCTACCCTACGGCGTCTAACTTCTCCCCCTCCCTTCGAACTTAAATATTACCCTTCAATCGCCTTAGACCGCCTACACCCATACCACTGGGTGTTTTAGGTTTTATTTCTTTTTGGTCTTTGGTGTTGTCGTGTGTTAGTGCCTATCAACGCTCCGGAGTATTTATCTCCGAAGAGTCGCAATCAAAGTCACAAGCAACGACACCTGTTGTAGGATCGTGCTCGCAGGGGTAGAAATTGCTAGAGAGACTTGGTTAATTTTATTTTGCTATGTAGGACACACCGGAGATAATTAAATCGACGGCGGAGATAAATCACTTGACGAGTCAGGCCTATTGGCAAAGCTAGGATCGGTTATAAGTCGCTAAGTTTGACGCTTTCGAACTTCGAGGGTCGCTGAGATCATAACGCTAATTCTCTGAGATGGTGAAGTACAAAACTTGTTTTTCTGTATGCTACTTTGTACAATTTATACTACAGGAATGGCTTTGCAACCATCTGGAGATAAATAACAAATAAACGCCGCTACCCACAAGATTGCTCAGCACTTGCCGCCGTTATACCATACACCATACGACTCTCTTGCGCTCCCTCTTGCTCGTCCCAGGTCGCCTCGACGCTCCGCCACCTGCCCTAAGCAGTCCCATCACTCCACACAGTGCGCCGGTCACATGCTAATTACCTCCGGCCGTTCGCTGACTGATGCTGACCTCATGGTGACTCGTATGCGTCCGCACCTTCGGTAGTTTGATGGAAACGAGAGGGAGTGAGTGTTGGAGGTTGGGCATGAGGATGACGCCCCTCAATAGAAGCATCCGCGGGCCCCAGAGCTAATTCATCTAGAAGTCGCATTGGTTAAGTCGCTCCGGAGCTCCTGTTCGCGGAGATAAATCGCGGAATGGGTCCGTGTATGCCTCAAGGATGCTAGGAAGTCTGGAGCTAAAATAGAGCAAGTCTTTAGAGCCCATAGAAGCCTAGAGGCGTGTGAGTGCTGTGTCGAATAAGCTCCGGAGGGCTTGTACGATGTGCTGAGTCCTCGTTTTCGGGGGTCAGACGATCCTGAGGCTTATCACCGGGGTCAGCATGGCAGAGCTGCAGTGTCACCCACACCCAACCTTGGAGAAAGATGAGCTCTAGGTCCAGAGACATGTCCCATATAATATACAATGATCTGATCTGAATTTTGCTTGCACGGAAAGAAATGTATGTATAGCAGAAACATGAACTCATAGTCTGTCATATGTGAAGGCTAGACAGCAAGTGTCAGGTGTACAACTCCCACCACAGCCGCATGGTGTCTCCAGGAGTCTCCATCTGGAGATGCCGTCTCTGTCTGGCTCAGGATGGAGATGGCCATCCCGGGATGATTGGGGGGCCTCTCTGTTGCTCCGGGGCTCCATGAGGCTCCATATAGCCGAGATGGAGATTACCCTTGGTCCTGATGAACTACCCCGACTGGTGTTAATTGGCAGTCATGGGGTCCTGGCTCTTGATTGGAATTACACTAGTGCTGTGGTGATGAAAGAGAGCATGGTGAGATATAGATTAGATTACATGCCTGAGCAGCATTGCTCATGATCAATGGAATATCTCAATTCACAACAGCTACATTCTTGACAAAAACCTAGCAAAATATATTATAACTTATATACATGGCTTATGGGACCTTCCAGATGCTCTCATCAGGGCAATATCACAGGTGAAGCATGCCATTTTTGTGATCTAATCTACGTGTCACCACACTATCCGCCATCACCGCAGCACCAGTGTTCATCCAATCAAGAGCCTGGACCTGTGACCGCTGATTAACACTAGTTGGGGTAGTTGGTTTCACGGATCGCTGACATGGATGCCCCCTGTAGTTTGCGATGATCACTGGCAGGTGATTCATTGATTCAAGCTGGTTGTGCAAGCCAATCTGGTTGCCTTGAATTATTGCGGCCTTCATGAGGGTTATGATAGCGACCTTGAATGTGTCCCCTGCCTGGACGACATTCAGAGAGGAGCGACGCAAAAGCCAAAACAGAATTGTACACACTCTGGAGATGTGTCCAGTAAGGCCAGTCACCTTTGGTGCAGCTCAGAATGGCTTCCCTGAGAATGCATATCGAGTAGGATGCCATTCACTGGATCTCTATCATGATGCTGAGGGAAGTCAACAAGTCATTCTGATGCCTATCAACACCCATCCGAAATACCTCTTACCACATAGGGACATCGTCAGGTAGGTAGGCGAGTTCACTGGACATTGGTCATCTGTTTCTCTGTTTCCTCGTCTTGTATTGATGCCACACTATCCAGAGTTGCTGGTAGGACGAAATGAGCAGGGTTTATGTTCAGGTAGCTCAGCGTGGAAATGTTGGATATTACGAGTCCTGAGTTTATGAAGGATGAGTCTATACCGGCCGAAATGAGTGTTGCCAAACGTTGTACCCCGTGGGAATGGCAATGCTGAGAATGCGTGAGACTAATTCTGTGTAGTCATTACTACAAGTGTGAAAGTCCGCCTGTATGCAAGACTACAACTTCACTACAAAACCAATTTTGTAGTCTGTGGTAGCACTTATTGCCTATTTCCTCCCTGAGTTTTTCTTCACTTTCCATCCTTAGTGCTATGAAGGCCTGTTTTGGGGTGATGCCCCTCCATATATTTTCGAAATCTTACAGTGAGTCAGTCCTTCTGCGCTGTTTTCACCTCCATCATTGTTGCCGGTTACCATGGGAACTCACTACACCCACGACTTGTAGTCGGTAGTTGAGGCGTGCGCTGTGTTGGTTCGGAATTCTGTTTGCTCATTGGCTGACTGAAGTCAAGGGTCCATGACCTTACAGCAATCTGCAAAATGATGCGAAATTGCAGCTTCCAAAAATACAGTGGTAAGTGATCAAAATCACTCCATTTGGTGTCAAGACTAGTGTTCTGTGAAAATGGCAACAGTAATTAACCCTGTTAATTAACACCACCTAATTCACCAGTAATTTACCAGTGAGCCACACCTTGCAGGAAAATGTCAGGTGAAATAGGGTAAATTAGGGATGATTCATCCCAAATGCATCCCACATGTTGCCCTTGCTTCATAGATGATCATGACCCTTGACCTGCAGGGATAGCTCAACAGCCATAGGAATGCATTTGTAGTGTTTTTAATATCAGTTCTCAGGAAATGTACTACTAGTGAAAGCCTGAGGACTATTGGAAAATAACAAACCGGTAACTGAAGCCCAAGACATCATCGCCATCGCTCTCCTTTTTTCTTTGCTCTGCATCTTGTGCAGAGAGATATGGCTGACAATCGTGTGCATTCATTGGGAGAATATCTGGAATGCCTATCGCAGACACTGCCTTACCAGACGATGACCAGAATCATCGCACTCCGGAGGAACAACTAGAGGACCGAGTTAGTATGGGACGACCTGAGGGCATTAATTTACAAGTCAAATAGGCCTAATGTACTCAGTAAATTAATGGAAATTTTTATTTGTTTTTGAATCGGTTAATTAACGGGTAAAATACAGAGGTGAATTAGCCTTCCCCTGTGGCACTCGGTTAATTAACATGGAAGATTAGGTCTGGGACCTTTTTCACTGAACACTAGTCAGGACACCACTTCCGTCCCATGTTGACAGCTCAGAAAGGCACAACCACATAATTTGCTCCAAATCCTGTACTTGAGTGGAACCCATTGAGGTAAGTTCTTGCGTATTTTGTCGTATTTCCTGGAGGCCACATCGTTTTCCGGATTGCTGTAATAACCATTTTTGGAGTACTGAGCGGCAACACCCGTGCAGTCTTCAGCTGATTGCAGAACGACAGACACACTGGAAATTCCTGCTGCACAAGGTGCCGCAAAAACAAACAATTGCAAAACGGCCATGAAAGGTGAGTTTTTGTTAGGAAGCGATGTCCTAACTAGTCGTCTTGAGATAACTGGGCCACGTGCCAACAGTT